CTTTTTGCAATCTATGCTTATATTCAACATGTAACAGTGGAAGTGCATGGAGTATATGTAGCATTAGACACCTCTTTGAGCTCCCGTTAAAAGACTGCTATTCGCTGCTTCCTGAATTGTTTAAATGTCAGTTCTGACTGTTTTTCCTATGAACCATGAGTTACATAAGCTTTATTAAATAATTACTCTTAGCAACATTGCTATGTATCTGCTCTTTGTCACCAGGTGCAAGCTTATGAGAGTTGCACGTCAGACACAGAGCCTATGGAGTGGCTGGTTTCTGATCAAGAGGAAGAGCTTATCCGTTTGCTTTCTGTAGAAAATTTGGAATCAGTAGATACTGTTTGGAAGCCTTGAAAATTTTCAGCATTGTAGATCATCATTTAAATCATTGTCATTTTTTCTTTTAAGTTTGTGAGCAATACAATCTAAATAGAAGCTCATTAAGTTCTCATTTTGAATAACGTTTTAACCAAAGAAAAAAAATCATAATAGTCATTGTCTCCTTAATTCTTATCAGTATATTTTATACTCTTAAGTGACATGTTTGATTCTTAATAAAATTGCTTCAACATAAAAATTAAAGTAATAAATATTTAATGTATAAAGTTTTTCTGTTTTTTTTTTACTTATTTATATTTTTTTCTGTAAGAATGATAGTTTGTAGGGGAAAGTGTTTTGTTTTTAAATATTTAAAATCTCATTGGTTTAAGTATAAGTTTACATGGTTTTTTAAGTAGAATGAAGCCACAAATATAATCCATCATAAAGTGCTTTATCGGTGCTTTAAAATGCAATATTCCTAGAAATATACAACTAGTTCAAAATGAATTGCAAAAGATTTAATTCTGATTAATTTCTAACAATTCATGTATACTTTATCATTTGCAAAAATTTTCAACTTTTTCAATTTCATTATACATATTTATTAAACTTTTATCTTTCAAGACCAAAAGATGAATCTGTGATTACAAAAAAATAAAAAATACACGTTTTTCTATTTGGGTTTTTGTTACTAAAACATTTTGATATTAGATATAATAGCAGTAAACTAGCTGTATGTTACATATAAAGTATCTTCATGTTGTTTTCTTCTGGAATATGACTATCTATGAAATAATGCCTGTATAGTTTGTATATCTTAGTGGGATGTTCTAACTTACAATTTTCTGTTAGCATCTAAAAGAACAAAGATAAAAACTAAAAGAAATAAGTTTATTAGACATGCTGATTGGACTGTAGAAAACGTGTTAAGTCCAAACTGATACCACCCAATTTCATTTGCTCAAAGATCATGCATAGATGTCATTTTAGTTGAAATTGTTCATTCATGATATGTGTGTGAAGCCCATCTGAAAATTACGAAACATACATGAGTAAGAAAAAAAAATTAATATTGTTATCTGATGAATTGTTTATAAAAATAAATGTATAAAAATTATTACATTCAAATTTAGCTAGGCATTCAGGATTGTACATGTTCATATGGTAATAATATCAGGGCACTTAGCACATTTATGCCGGCACAGCGTAATTTACATATGACTGTATAATCACATGTATGGAAGTCTAGGTCAGTGTTGCCAGGTTTATAACATATGATGTAGTTATGACGTAGTTTGTTACTTTTTTTTTGGCAAGTGAAGCTTGCTGTCCAGGCAGCTTAATTAATGACCTGTCAAAAGATTTTGAAAGTGTAAAAGTATGTATGTATGTTGTTATTTGACAAAAAAATAAAAACAATTAAATTGCTATTGCTGGTGTAATTGCATAAATTATGTTTAACGTTCTCTTAAATGTTATTTTTTAAAAGTTGTAGGTAAGGGTTGCATAATTTAAAATATTTTGATGAATACTTTTTATTTTCCTACAGGATCATCAGCTTTATGGTGCATAATTGAAATGTTGGCTACATGGTTTTTATTTATTTTTTCCCAAAAAATTGGGTTCCTCTATGCATAGTTACCTTAAATATTTTTTGTAATAAGTACTATTAAAGCTTTTTTTCTATCCAATTCAGTATCTTTAAGTTGCACTAAGTAGAGAACTAAAAGAAAACACAAATATGTTTTATATTGGTTGCTGTCATGAGTTCATACTATTTGAGAACCCTGAAGTTTCTTTTACAAATATTTTGAGGAAAATTATAATTAAAATTCCAGTATTGTACATATAATGATTGAAGAAAGAAATTTTTATTTTGGTGTTTTTGAATACATATTTTTCTAATATCGAAAAAATTAAATTTTAAATGTGTTACTAATATTTCAAGTCAAAAGTGCAGTAGCTCTTAATACAGAACACATAAGTTCAGCCCAACCTTTTGCTAGAAGTAGTATTACCTTCTTTCTCTATATTTTTTTCACTTTCTTGATGAAGGTCCAAAACATACAACTAAATTTAAGCAGTCAACTTGTGAAATTATACATAAAATAATTCAAGTATCAAATCTTAAAATTTTTCTTACAACCATTTCCAAAGTGTTCAATAATACCCTGTCAAACTTTTAAAAAATAAAGTTATGATTTGTAAAAGGACTCAATATACTTAAAGGCCACTGCCAAGAAAATTGCAAAATTTGAATAATAAAAATAATGTTAAACTGGCATTCTTAATGTTGAAAATGAAGTAAACAGTTTTCATGTGATAATTACACCCTGTTGTAGTAAATCAAACCTTCGTTAAGCAAATAAAATCATCTTTTTACATTGAAACTTGTTGTGTGACAAAAAGTTTATTTTTAGAATCTAAAATAGTGTTTTTGATATCAGGTATATAACTAACATTTATTTTATCAGTTCCTCTGTGTTTTACTACAATGCAGTTAAAGTGATAAACATAGATTTATAGAACATTGATATTAAAGTTTTTGGTAAACAACATTCATTATTGATCTAGGTTTTCTGAGTCAAGAAAAGCCCATCTAGGCTAAATCTTAGTGGAATAAAAGTAACCTAACTTGGAGGTATATTATGAAAGTGTATAGCACACTAAGAAATGGTTAGTAATGAGAATGTAAGAAATGGTTATTAGTATGAGAGTTTAAGGAGTGGTTATTAGTAATGAGAATGGTTCTAACATTTCAGCACACACAAGAAATTTTGTAAGGCATGCTCAAGTAGAGGTATTTATTATATCATAGAGATCTATTATTTTACACATGGCTGTAGAAAAATAATAGAATGAATTATTAATTTAGTCTGCCATTACTTCATAAACTGTTAAATGTGAATATTTTAAACTGGATTATTTTGTGTATAATGATATGACAATAATAATAATAATTACACTGTGTGTTCAAGTTATATGAGATTTCACCAATATGCTTTGTTTTAACTTACTGCAAATTTATAAAAATGTATTTTAATTATTTATATGTATACTTCAATTCTTGAATTTAAAACATGGAGTCCATTTTATGTTGTCATTCACATTGCCTTGCAATAATAAAAAACAGAAAAGATCAGATCAGATGCAGGAAGAGGAGCAAGACGAAGAGGAGAAAACGATTTGCTCCACTTGTTTGGGAAGTTTTAGATTTTTACCACAATCTCAGTGTGGCACGGCACGTTTACAGCTGCATGGTGGCATTGTACACATTCTCTATTATTTTCACTAACTGTTTACTGTCAGAGGTCCAATCTCTGGTATGAAGATAGTATGAGAACTAAACACATTTATATTTTGGTGGTAAACATTGTTAATAACACTGTCAGTGTGACAGACTGTTTTCTAACTGTTAGTTCATTTCACAATTCTTTAACATAAAACAACTGTAGGTGAAACAAAGTAGTATTTTTCCATGTATAAGACCATTGTTTGTGGAGGTGTAAGTGGTGAAAACTATGTTAAATAAATAGTATAAATCTGTATGCACTGTTAATGTATACAGTTTTCAGTATCTGCTGTGTATCACTAATGCATGAGGATTGGGATTATATATATACATATGTTTGTGTATTTTATTTTTGAAGTTTTTTGAGGGCTTAATGGTTGTGGCTCTCAATTCTGTCAGTCAAGAGATTGAAATCCAGAGCTGTATGTTTGCCCTTTCAGACATAGAGGCATTGCAAAGTGATGGTCAATCCCACTATTTCTTTGTAAAAGAATGCCCCGTGTATTTTCATTGTGTGTTGTTGACCAATTACCTTCCCTCTGGTCAGAAGTTCAAAATTCAAGATGATGTAGCTTTGCTATACAGAAACAAACAGATTATTTTAAAAATGTATGCAGTTTTATTACAGCCAAACAGTTGTATATGTTTGAAATTGAATTGTGGAATTTAAAAAATAAAAGCAAGAAAATTTGAATTTGCCATTTAGTTAATAAGTGAATGTTTTTATGGTTTTTTTTGTTTGCAGGTAGATATAATACAAATTAGCCAAATGCATGAGTCATGTTGGTCATATAAATGGTTTACTAACTATAAGATGTGTAAAAGATAACACGTATAACTGCTGCTTTAAACTGCTTATGCCTTTGTAGCAGTGCTTGTTAAGAAGTGAAATGAAAATTTATTTCATTATGTGTGTAAAAAGTACTGTTGGTCAAGTCTGTTACTAACGGGTGTCCTTGTAGTATTCTGTGTGTTTCATTTTGAAAATGTTTGAAAGATATAACAATATTCAGGTGGTTGTTACTAGAATCCATGAAATTAAAATAAACTTTAATATTGTTTTGCATGTTCTTTATATATATAAAAAATACTACAGTTAAATCTTAGAAATTTCAGTTTGGCAGATGCAACATGTTGCTAGATATAAGAAATAACTTTTTGTAATATACTAAATGGTTATTCTGAGTCAGAGTAATTAAGTAATCAGTATTGACATTTAAAGACTAACTGTAAAATGTTCGTTGTTGTTTTTTTTTTCTCACTTAATAAATACACCCGAGTAAAAAAAAGTATGGGTGAGTTTAACATATTTATGGATGAGTAGCCATTCCAGTTTCTTTGTTATTATTTTTGTGCATTAAAGTTTTATATCTTTAATCCATAGGTAATGGTAACAAATGTCACATCCTTACTGAAGACAGTCAAATCTCTAGAAGATGAACATGCCCGTGGAACTAGAGCTTTGGAGTCTACTATTGAAGTTATTGGCCAGGAAATTCGAGTATGTGATACTTTAGAATTTAGAAAATTGCCTGTCCCCATCCCCTTTAATGTTTGAAAGAAATACACATAGCAATAGCATTGTAGACCAAAAGCTAAACTGCACCCATTCAGTAATGTTTTTAATTTGTTTTACCTTGTGTTATTTGTTCATGAACCCAACTCCTTAACCCTTTTTTTTGCAAAGGGAACCCCTTTGGATGCTTTTCTGTGCAATTTACTGTGTTACATTAAAAATTTCATTTAACACCTTTGATATCAATGTGTATGAATGAATTTAATATTATAATGTGTGTTATGATTCAAATTTTTATTTCACCCAAGTTTCTAGTCCTTTATATCAGAATAAACATTTAAAAAACTACTTAAAACTTCAGATGTATTGTCATGTAACCAACAAGCTATGAAAAATCTCTACTTTGGCACTCTGTATCTTCAATAATACAATGGTAGTTGAATAGAGGTATGTCTAGAGAAAGAGATGCTTTTGACATTTTCATTTTAAAGATCTCTGAATGAATACAGTTGGAACAAGTAATAAATGTTTTCAGCCCCTGACAGTTGCCATGCCTACCCTCATCAGATTTGTTTGACGTTACATACACACATGTATAATCATTAGAAAGAGCTTATTTTACAATATAAACTAACAACAATTACTTTGAAGTAATCTCAGAATTACTGCGTGTATTGTTGTAATTTGCAATTCAATTTCCACAAATTTCACGAGCCTGCCTCTAAAGGATTAACAGCATAATTTTTTACTAAAACAATATTTTTTATTTTGAAATTTTTTTATATATTTTTTAACTCTACTTCAAAAAAATTAACTAAAAATAGGAACACTAAACCACTGAGTGATTAGGAAAATAAGAACAGTTGTAGAGTGTGAAAAATTTTCGTGGTTAAATTCCTAACAAAATATTTTTATGTGTACTCTTCACTTCTAAAAGTTTAAAAACAAACATAGTAGCTTTGGCCTTTGTTATTCGTGGAAAATGTGTAATGAATGTACTTGCAGATTTTGTTTCACAAGTATGTGTATATGGTATCTACGACAAATGTACAGAGATTTTGTGTTAATTCTTTTATAGCTTATTCTTTTTAAAGTTTGTGTAGTATTGTATATTGTAAATTCTTCGTCAGGTTGTGTGTAAATCAAGTGGACTTCTGTCTAATTTGAAAATTTCTTATTTGTATTTTATACACAATATATTTTTTATACATACACATATAAATCTTCAAAAAATTTAAATAAACCCTCTCTTATTACAGTTATTATGTTATTTTAAAACATGTTATGTTGAAAAACAAATAAAACTATTATGGATTGTTATTGTATTTTGTTAATAAGTTTTCTTTAGGTCATTGAAGTGACTCGAAAAGAAAGTACAGAATCTAAAAAACCTGTTGTCTGTAAAGTTCAGTGACATTTTTAACCATATATGCTTTTACATATTAAGTATAGCAAAATATTAATTATAACCTTTTTTTTAAGGCATACAATATGTCTGACATTCCAACAAAAAAGGCAACTCCAGAAGATCTTGTTCGAGCTACTAAGCCTGTTACACTAGCAACAGCAAAAGCAGTCGCTGCAGGAAACAGTGGGAAACAAGATGATGTAATTGTTGCAGCCAATATGGGGAGGAAAGCCCTATTTGATCTTCTGACAACTTCAAAGGTGTGGTTTATATTAAAAGAGATTGTGTATTATGAGTTAATTACTAAAACCATATTCCAAAAAACGTTCACATTTTATAAACGTTCCTTACGCAGTGACAGTTAAACTTAATTATATGGCCTAGCTTGGCTTGGTGCATGTTTGGAACTTTCTAATTTGTCTCTAGGTAAGTCAGCCATAAGTTTACAGACGTAGAACATTTGATTCCTCATGGTGGAGAGACTACAGATAACCCGTTGTTGTATAGATTTGCACTGAAGCGTCAGCAACAACTTGCTAGTTTTAGTGGAGTTCAAATGATATTTTTAAAAAAACCTAAACTTGTGTTTGGTGAACTAATTAGCAGATTTTAGTTTTGTACCTTTTCTAGCCAACCTAAGTGAAATTGATAAAAGCCAGTTTATATTTTTTTTATTTTGAATAGCCTATTTTAAGATACAGTTAGTGCTGGAGAAGTATGTAATTGTCTTTTTCAACATAACACAATCGTTGTTCACTTAAAAAAAAAGAAACAACATCCATCAATAAAATGTCATGAGAATAGTTTAACATGCATGGATTTATTTCCTATGCAGTTGCCTCATCAGTGTGAATTACAGACTGTTTTGCTAGAGAATATTAAAAGCTTGCACTAAACTGTTCTCTCGGTTGTATGTAATTTTTTTAAAGTTTTGGTTTTTTGGGTCCAATAAATTTATAATGAACATTTAGTGAGATGGCTTAGTCTATGGCATGATGAATCCTTGTGATTGCCAGAAGGAAATGATTATTGTAATGTTGTGGAGTTTTGACCAGATTCTCCTCTTTGGTGCTTGAAAAAATATATCCTCCTTAATGTTCTCCCTTGTTTTTGTTTTTGAGGTTTTAAAAAAAGATGAAAAGTTTAATATTTGGCATAATTAAAAAAGAATTATCTAAGAACTATAGTAGAAGTTTGTATATAAACTACATTGTATTCTTAAATATAGTTTGTATTGGTTAAAAATATCGAAAAACTTGTATATAGATATATATATACTTTTTTTTATCATAGGCAGCTGCTTTCAATGCTGAAAGTCAAGAAATAAAAATCAGAATCTTAGAATCAGGTCATAAGTGTGCCATAAATTACAAGGAATTGTTGACCATGGTTCACCGGGTATGTCTTTGTTGTTATTGATCCTCAATTACTTAATATTATTGTGTATTTATTTACTTGTTTAAATATGTGCCACAGTGCTGTAACAGTTGTTAAAAACTCTCATGTTCTAGAACGTTAAATCTTTCAAAATACTGAATTGTTTACAAGTTTTGTTTGTAATTTTTTCTTGATTTTTTAAAGTATTTTTTATAACTGTTTATCTTCAAACATGTTGCTTTATTCAAGAAATAATTTATATTGTATGTAAATATCTAGACATGTATACACAATCTGTATGGAGAAGAAATCTAGTGACTAAATTTACATGAGTTCTTCAGTTTAGGCATCCTTGCTATTCCATGACTAAAGTTGTATCTTTCCTTCATTTAGGTACCTTTATTGTTTAGTGACTAAATTTACCTCACTGTGTACCATCACTGTACTTCATGACTAAATTTATGTCTTATCTTCATGTGCAATCCTTGTAATATGGCAAAACTATTGGAAACGCCGTGGCATTTTCTGAAAAATATCAAATACAGTGGCAAAAACTAAATCAATGTCATAAAAAAATGGGATTTTTTTTTCCTTTGAGTTCTTAATATTTCCTGTTACTAACATAACATAATATTTTGGAACAACATGGGACCTATTGGTCCATCTCAGCTGTTGCATCATCAAAACTAAATTAAAATTATTAAAAGAAATAAAATAAAAAAGTTTAAACCCAGCCCTTTTCATTCATACACTTATCAAGCTTTTTCTTAAACTCACTTAAATTTACTGCATCTACAACATCTGAAGGCAACCCATTCCAAAGGCCAACCACTCTGTTAGAAAAATAAAAACTGTCTTAGCTGAAGATGACTCCAACCTTGCCAAAATTGATATTCCTGTCCCAAATTCCTACTGTTCTCATTGTTAAATATAAAAAATGATGATACATCAACACTATCAATTCCCTTTAAAATCTTAAACACTTCAATTAGATCGTCCTTAACTCTTCTTTTTTCAAAAGAAAACAATTTGAGAGATTTCAGCCTCTTGTCGTATGACAACTCCTCCATCCCAGGCACCATTCTAGTAACCCTTCTGAGCCCTGAGGTACCCCACATGTAACATTAATCCAGTTTGACTGAACTCCATTTGTAACAATCCTCTGCTTTCTTCCATCCAGCCACTCTTTTATCCAATTTGCTAACTTATCCCCCACACCTACAGAGCTAATTTGTTTTGCAAACCTTTTATGAGGCACCTTGTCAAATGCTTTCTGAAAATCCAGATACATCAAATCTACACCCTTATCATCATCTACATAAGCAGTAACCTTTTCAAAGAATGTCAAAAAAGATTTCCAAGGCAAGATTTTCCCTTAGTGAAACCATGTTGACTAACCAATAAAATTATAAACTTTGTTAAATGACTTTGCAGAGCATCTTTTCACAGACTTTCCAAAATTTTTCCCACAACTGATGTAAGATTAATGGGTCTATAATTTCTGGGACAATTTTTATCACCTCCCTTGATAAGAGAATTTACCTTAGCTTACTTCCAATCCT